TTATTACATTGTAACAGCTAAGGCGAAGCGTCCATCGACGTGAGTGATGTTGAGTTGGCCATGCCCATTCAGTCACATGACCACCAAGCCAGGCCTACCCAGCTGGTCATTAGGGCAGAGAACCAGTTGTTAAATTATTTGAATCCCACCACTGGATGTAACCAATATAAAAATGCATGATGAGACCCAGAGAAAAACTATACTGAAGGAGTTTTGTCCTGTCTTCACTATTCTGGAAGCAATCTTAGTGAGCAAGCTTTGCACTTTTCTCTCCCTTTGTCACATCATTTGCATGTTTATATCAGCTCTCTTTAGCAGCTCTTGAAAACATGCAAGGAGAAGAGACATCAATGCCACTGTTGAGGATTATGGTAAATCACAGTTTTCACTGACAGGGAAGAACTAACAATAAAGTGGTTTACATGAAAAAATAAACTTGTTCTGTACGTAACTGAGATTATACCTGTTTTATCTCAATGGACAATTTTGCATAGTTTTAAAGCATCTGTAACTTACAGAAGCTGAGTTTGATTACACTCCTTACTCAAGCATTACAGTTCCCTGGAGTCACTATAGCAATGGTCTATCCACCACACAATCACAGAAATTTTAGAATGATGAAGATGAGTTGAAACTTCTTTGTAATCTGGATAAAGTCTGATCTAGTGTTGGCTCCATCCCTCCCTCCAGTTTTAGTGAGCTATTCCTGGAGCTGCCCTTGTCTAGCATTACCCTTTGGAGTGCTGAGTGATGGCAGCTTCTCATTGTTAGGACACAGTAAGTTCTCCCAGCAGGGTTCCTTGGGAAATTCTTCGTCCTCTTCACTGTCAGAGGAATGGGTGGAAGCAAAGGAACCACTCTGGTCATCCTCCATGGAAAGGTCACTATCTGAATCAGTATCACGTTCTGTGCCGAAAAAGGGCAGGGAGGGAGGGAGACAAATAGTAATCAGACTGCATTAATAGTGCATCCATTCTTCACTCACCTGTTCTCCAGTCTCAACTTGTACCAGATTCTCATGTCAGAGAATCTTAATGGTCCAAATCGGTTATTTAAGAACTATCTTCACAAATCAGGGGATTATAGCATGCAATTAAATTGTTCTCTTGTACATGCATTTTTGTGCAAGCTCAGTCTATGTAGTGGCTATAGTGTCCAATTACATTAGTGGCCAAAATTGTGGAAATCATTTGGGGAAAGTGTATTTTAACGCCATCACTACCAAACAGGGTCTCATCACTCCAAATAACACTGTCCCATTGCTCCTCTGTCCAAGTACCATGGGTTTTAGCCCAGTTTAGTCTTTTCAACCTTTGTTTTAGAGATAAAAGTGGCTTTTTTGTGGAATTCTAGATTTTAGGCCAAATTCCTGCAGTCTGCACTGAACAGTTCTTGCACTCAACTTCACATTGCATTGCACTATTTCATAAGGAATGGGATAGAGTCTATGAAAAAGGCAACTATCCATCTATAAAACAAAGGTTGAAAAGACTAAACTGGGCTAAAACCCATGGTACTTGGACAGAGGAGCAATGGGACAGTGTTATTTGGAGTGATGA